AGAGCGAAGGGCCGGCTTTGTCAGTCCTGGTTTGGGGTGTAAAGGGGTCCCTCGGTCTGATGGGGGGTGTGCCCGCTCATGGTGGGGTAGGGGAAGAAAACAGCTACCAGTCCTTACTGTTTTCTCCAACTCCTTCCTCTTCCTCCCTTCAAAACCAACAGAAGAGAGCATCCTGGAACGCTGCTCCCTGTTTCCAAGGGGCCTTCGCTCCGGTGCTGCTTGTCATTGCTTCAGCCTTCTGCTCTGCTAACGGCTTTGCTCCTTCAGATCTGCTATTGTAGCTGTTCCTGTATTCCCGTCCATCTGAGTGCATTGGGATAGCATCGGTACCTCTGCTTATAGTTTGTCAAATAACTCAGTTTTTTTAAAATGTTCAGATTAAGTTAGAAACATCCTGCTAATGAGGCAGGTCTGAGGAGGTGGTAGTTACTTGGCCTGTCTTAGCAGAACTCACTGCGTTGTTGGTACAGGCAGAGTCTGAAATGTTCCTGCCCCAGAACCTCATTTGGGGAAGGTGGTGGAACCTTCTGGCTGTCCTGTATGTCACTGCTCTTCATGGCACCCAAATGCAAATACTGGGGGTTAAAAGGTCAGTCATATATCTTAAATAGTTTCTCTGCACAGCACATATGTGAGTTGTCTACTAAAATCCTATGCTTGTTGCAGTGGAGAGGGTAGACACTTTCTAACTTCTACTCATAAGCCAGTCTAGATATTCAGCTTTGCCTATTGTTAATACTGTAGTCACTATGTTAATAAAAGTGGAGGAAAACTCTCTCTCTCTCTGTAATGGCTGTGTATTTACTCCTTGTCTTCAGCGGCACCTTTCTAATGCGAGATGAAAGTGTTGAAGGTTTAAAGAGTAAAATACTAGCGAAAGGTTTCCTTGCTTTTTACGAAGTAACTGATTATGGGACAGACGCCCTCAGCGTCTCTTCAATCCAGTATGGATGTATTAAAAGATGTACAAATAATTTATTTTTATCCAGACATGTAGTTTCTTTCCCAGCTTTGGCCATTAATTGCTGTAGAAGATTCTACCGTCTGAAACAAATTTTTTGTTACTTGTTCCATTTGTACTACCTGTCCCCAGACTACTTGGTAAAATAACCCCCAGAAGCTTGTGCAAGTTATTTATAAATATGCTCATATCTATCTTATAAAATGTTTTTTCTCAGATGTAGTGTGAATTGCTGAAGGGGAGCATAAGGATGGCTTAATAAACATAATTGTTTAGTTGTCGGGCATCTAAAGCCTTGTGGTTTTATTTTGCATAACCTCAGTATATTCTCAGTGATAGATTTCAAACATCTACTGTTTCTTTGAAGTATTTCTATTTTTAAGAAAAACTTTCAAGAAATCAGAAGATGATGCAGTTTGCGTTGATGAGGCTGGAAAGAATAGCCAATAGGAGTCTTAAGCATTCATTAGCAGCTATTTCTTACTCCAGAAAAAGAGTTTATTTGCTGTTATCCAAATTATTGTTATAGCTGATCTTTCCTCCTTTATGTGCCTGAAATTTTAATCATCAATTTAATGTGTCCTTTGATGACCGAATCTTGGATAGCGGCTATTTTTTAAATAAAACTAAGGAATTTTAGATTAACTTGTTTACAAGCAAATGTGGTAGGGCATGAATTGAATTTGCAGTATTCTGACATGAACTGCTTCTGAGTCTTTGCTAAAGACAGATATTTATTAATATACCTGGGAAGGAGTGGGGCGAACAGCCACAGCTGGCTTCTGATATTTGAAGTGAAATATGTGAAACTAATGAACTGCAATAATCGGGTCACATAATGTAACTGGTTCTCCCTCAGCATAGGTTTTATTATGGCAGGGATATTTATTAAGGTCCGTTTCTGCAGTTTTGTCTGAGTAACTCTACTAAGTTAGTTATAGTTAATGGATAATGACTGTAAAAACCCAACAGCTAGAAGTAATTAGGAAATGTCGTGGTATAAAAGTCATTCTGCATTTCCTTTGCGCTACCTTTTACAGACGTGGGAGACCTGAGGCCAGCCTTCCTAGAGAATGAGACCTGGTCAGCTCTTATCTTTGCTCCAAGTGATTTGTCAGTGTTGTCTAGAATATGTCAGAGCCAAGAATTGTACTTCAGTCTCCCGATCATAGCAGTATCTCAACCACAAGGTCCTTTACCCACTCAGAGCAGGCTGCTTAAAGCACAAAATGCATCTAGCAGCAATTTTTACATACCAAATTTCCCACCTTGGAATTAACTGAAGGCAGGATACTTGTGTGGTGTTTGAGGGAGAGCCAGAGAGGGAGAGAACAGATCTGAAAATAACTCTCCTCTTAAGGAAAGTGGTGGTAGTTACACTTCTGGTACTGCTAACCAATAATTCTGCTAGTTTGGGGGTGTATGACTCGGCTTCCAAGCTGACTGTATGTTTAGAGTCTAGATATATAAACTCTGATCTTCCTCTCCAGGTAGCAGTGCCTTTTACTATTACTTGCATTCTGTTCCTCTGAAAGTTTGACATGATCTGCTCACATTTCATTTTATACTTTTGGCTAGAATTGTGTGTGCTACGTGGTGGTAAGGTAGCAGAGAGTCTTGAAATGAGTTCAGTCTTGAGTATGTGAAGTTATAATGTATTTTTAATAGGATAGATTAGAATTGAGAAGTAACAATGGCCCTTGAATGTTGCAGTTCAGGTGGCAAATCATAAGGACTTGTTGGACTAATCAAATAAAAGATTTTAGGCTCATACGGGGAAAGCAGAATTACTAAGAAGCTACAAGTGTTAAATGGCCTTTACTAAGTAAATCTCTTCCCCTGCCTACCCCACCTTGATCATCTCCTGACATAAATGCTCTGAAAGAGAAATGTGATGGAATACTCTGAATACCTGCAGCTCCTCATGGGAGTTCTGATAGAGAAGTGTTCAGACAGGTGAAACTTCACAATATCAAGAAAATTTTAAGTAGGAAAAAGTGGAAATGAGAGTTTTAAGGTAGGTTGGCTTTCTGTCATGTTTAAAAATTAGAGCCACAGAAGAATAGCCCTATCTTTAGCTGAAGTGTAAAAGAAATTTTACCTGTTTGAACCTAATTGTTATCTGGAGACAAACAGCAATGGAGCTTTAGCATACCTTGACAACTTGGATCAGCTTGCGAGTCTGTGGGAGTCACAAGATACCATGTCTTTCATGGCAGTGTCCTGACAAGGCTCTGGGCTCACCTTGCTTCATTATGGCTTGTCACTTGCCAAGATAAATATGTCCTCTCCTGTGTTTGTGGCTAACTCGTGTGGGCTTTACAATGGTGGCTTGTCAATACTAAAATAAGAGGCTCTTGCTGGAGCGTTTGGCTGTGAAAAGCTTGATAGTGAGTAAGGTAGATAACTTATGCTGGGTAATGGATTTTTACATTTGACTTTCAGATCTTGTGTGGGTGACTGTGTTGGCACAGAATGCCCGGTGTGCCGCATGCCAGCCTGGGTGCAAGATGTGCAGATTAACCGGCAACTAGATAACATGATTCAGCTTTGCGGCAAACTGCGGCATCTACTGGGTGCGGACACCACAGGTAAGAGCAAACCTGGGTCTCTGACAGCCGTTGAATCCAGACTGCTCCAGTTCATTTCACATGCTTTGTAGAGAATGAGCAGTGCAGACCTGCTTAAGATTCTGAAAGGCTGTTCTGAATCATGTTTGGAAAATTTGATTTGAAGAGAACTGTCTGTATGGATTGCTCGTTCTTTGAATCTGTTTTACTAAGAAATCTGCATGAGCGGGGTAGTCCATAATTCATCAGAATCTATCTTCCAAAATTAGATGAAAGTGGAATAGATTCCCAAGTCACGTGGCAGTTAGTTGCACAAACCCGGGGCACGAGTTGTTGTATCTTGTGCTCTTATGGGAGCACAAATGTGTAATGTTCTGCAGTGTAGGCTTTAGAAGGGGCCCTCTTAAAGGATTAATGCATATATTCTCTTGCCTCTTGTGTATTTGTGCACAGAAACCTGCATGCTGTCCCAATAACTTTCAGTTTAGGGTTTTTGCACATGGAAAAAAACTGTGTTCCTTGCCTAATAGCGGAAGGAGGCAAGTCTTAACTCATCTATTTTCTGGTCCCTAACAATCAGCTAGTCTGCTACAAGGGAATTTTGTCATTGCTGACTGTGCTAGAAGATTGCAGAGATCGTACTCGGGGAATTCATCTTTCTATCAAATTTTAGACTGATTGTCAAAGTAGGAAAAAAAACGAAGTGAAATGAGTGTAGGTGAATGTATGTCTCTTCTGCAAGCCCAGAGAGGAGCGTTTTATGTAATACCAAGTTTTAGAAAACATTCGTTTAGCTGTCAGATACAGAAAAGGTAATTCTTCCTTCACTGTTGCTCCCTAATATGTTTGTCTAAATTAAAGATTCTTTTTTTAAGTCTAATCCCATTGGCACCTTTGTGTTTATTTATGGGATAGCTCTTTATTGACATGAAAATACATTGAAGTGAGGAGACTGGAAGCTTATGTCCAATTGTAAAGGAATACATTTTATATAGATACAAAATCCTATGGTGATTAAATCTTCTGGAGCATAGAAAATGTAGATGATAGCTTAAATAGGATTTCAGGGAAATGTTTTAAGTCATGAAGGCTTTTAAAAACATAGTTGGGGGAGCATCTCTGAGAGGAACTATTTGTGATTCTATAAATAAAGCATTCAAAATACAATATGGTAGTATTGATACTGTTTAGATGTTTTAGAGAACTCTTACAGATGGATCAAGTCTTACAAATTGGTCTGTTTCACTGTACTAGAAGTTGCATAATGCATTTACTCCTATAGCTCTTCTCAAATAAGGTTTGCATGGTTAAACCACAGAACAAACTGAGGTTCTTTTTATTGTTCCTTGTTCTAGCTTAAAAGCAGACCCAAAATTGAAGTTTACGAGAGCGTTTTAGTTGAGCTAAAGTTGTGAACTGATGTGGGAGCTTACTTTCCATCACTTGTAGCCTTTGACCTGTACTAAGGATGTTTCATACTGAGGTTAAGGGGGAAAAAACCTCCAGAGTTGGTGATAGTTCGCTGTCAGGAATGGTTTGGATACATAAGTAAATGAGCACACCTCTGACAATAGCTAATTATGTGTTCTACTATGGCAAATCATGGGATGCTGTAGCTTTTGAGATTTTGAGAACAAGTGCTTTAGGATGTTTTGTCATTCATCTCTGGCAAATGTGATACCTCCCATAGATGTATATCTTGAATTTAACGTCCACAAAGTGAAATATGTTTGAGCTTGGAGAACCAGGGCCTCTCTTGTTAAGGAGTTGCTTTCATGTTCTTATAGCACTGTAATTCTGCCACGTACCTGTTAACAATATTTTCTTTTCTTTTTTGTTAGAAGGTCAGAAATTGTATTTTATGTTCCAGTACAGGAAACAGACCAAAAAAATCAATCTTTTTGTAGAGGAAAGGAAGAGAAGTAGTTGAAAAGGGAATCTTTCCATATATTTGGGGTTTATCCCTTTTGTGTATTTGTTTTATATGCCTTGTTTTGAGACAATTGTGGCTTGTCTCAAGGCTTCTGTTTGAGATCCTTGTTCACATTGAAGTTTCTAATGCAAATGCATCGTACTACCTGTTTTTTAATCTACGAAAGACCTAGTGAACGCAGTAAGTGGTGTGTGTTGTCCTTAAAAAAAGCACAGAACTTCTGTGACTGAAAAGGATAAGGTTAAACTCACATTTTGAATATTTGAAGTGTAAAAATCCCTGTGCGCCAAGGTTCCACAGTAGATATAGGAGAATAGGTTTTTACCGAACAGCATGTGTGTTCTCAGCAGCAGCAAGTAATTCAGGGAAGACTGCACAAACCAGCTAATGCTTCCTTCTAAATTAAAGGGAAGCATGGCAAATGACACTACAGAATAGTACCAGGGCAACTGAAGGAGAATTGGCAAACAATGAACCTGAAACTGGCTAGACAATGCAAACTATAGGTAGTAAATGCTGAGTCTTACAATTAATTCACTTGTTAGAGATGTTATATCCTTAGTCTGTGGCAAGGTGAGGAGAGCTGTCTGACCTTTTCACTGCCTAGTGTTGTATTTTTACAAGGGTAATGGGAAGCTATCTGGCTGGCAGCTTTTGTAGGTGAGATATCTGGACATCAAAATCTTTAGCTCTAATGTTGCAGAGTCCAAGACATCTTGAGAATTGGAGTTGATGGGATGATAGGCTTCATAGGCGGGCAGTTAGTACATAGTGTATATCGTATACTGGAGATGAAGAAAGTTGATTTACAGTGATGACTTTGAAAGTGAATTTCTAAATACTTCAGCAGACTTTTAAAAAGAAGAGATTGTCGTAAATTTTCACAACAATCATTTATAGATGATTTTACCTTATTCTTTGTAACATAATCTGCTTCACTCTAACACAGTCAAACAGCAAGCCTTCCTCCCCTCTTCTGATACAGAGCTAGACCCTGCAGGTGTTGATCAAAGCTTCCTGAGCTCATGTTGATGCTGGTGGACAGTAGGAGAGATTAACTTTTGATTAGCCTTTATAGTCCTATAGTTTAGTTTCACACTTAACTGATGTGGAGGGAAAGATGTTGAACTCCTGTTGTAACAGATTACATTGCATTTCATGTATGCTATGACATTTTTCATAATAGCTAAAGATGAGTTTTTGAATAGCTGGAATTTCTCCCTTTTTCCCCCCCGTGTTGAATACTTAACTTGCAAAATAATCATTCTTCAGTGAAGGCTCTAATGTTGCACAGATGGTACCAAAGCACTTCCCTTTGATTTTTAATAAGGGACTAGTTTGTCAAAGAGATTTCTCAACTTCTGTTCTGAAACCCATAATAGAGAATAATTTGAAAGGCACACAATGTGCATCATTATATTCCTTTGATGCAGATTAATGATAGCTAAACCACATTTTCTAATTGCTCTTTTTTTTTTTCCTGCTCTAGCCTGTTATTGCACTACAGCAGAACTCGGAGATGTAGCTCTCTAGTTGCAAGGCGCTGTGTATCTCTTAATATTTTTGTCTGCTCTCCACCCTTCTCACACTTAAGAAATTCAACTCGATTAAATGTCAGCATTGAGAAACTTGTGCTTATTATGTGCAAATAAGTCTAATTTAGAAAGAATTCCCTTAATATATTGTATATATGAATGTTACGTTTAATAGGCAATGGAGACTAAATTTACTGAATTTATTATAGGCTGATTCTAATGCTGTTATTGTGGATAGTCCTCTTCTTTTATGGAAAAGGCTTAAAATCTAGAATTGGTAAGGTATGCTTTACTTGTCTCAATGCATCTCTAAAAATTTTGAGAGGATATTTCCTATGTATTTAAAAGACAATTAAATCTTAATCATATATAGTAATTTTTCGATTCCTGTTGAGCTGGAAGCTCTGGCTTCCAGCTTAGAGACAGCAAAGAATTCCTTTGGATCGATTTTTCTATGAGCAATTTTCTCTAAAGGTAGTTTAACTGAATGCACTTAGCTGCCAGATAATACCCTCTTTATATAAATTAACATTTACATAGTAAACCATAAAAACTTCCTTTCAGTTTCTTAGCAGTGTGTCTCCTCTCTCTCTCTCCTTCTGTCAGCTCTGGGTCCATCAAAGGATTAGATTTTCTGGGAGGGCCATTGTCCTTATTACTTATAGTAATATATAGATTGGCCATTTGTCCTTATTACTTATAGTCCCTACCTCGTGCGCTTTGGTAATGGAGGAAAGGGGCAGCAGAGTCTAAGAATAACATTTCTTTGCAGATGCTATGCAGAACTACTCAGGTAAAGTTGGTGTTAGTTACAGAGCATCCTAAAAGAGGGAGTTACTGAAGAATGGCTGAGGTGCGACACACACCCTGGCAGAAATTGCAGTATCCTCCCGAGTAAGCTTTGGAGAGATCCTCTGGGTGTGAACGGCTGGCCTCGATGTGATGGATCTCTTCCACAGTACACGTGGCCTTTTAATCATGTTCCGCTAGTGTCTCCCTGTTTTAAAACATGCACACACCTAGAGCAGTTACATATGAGGAAAAATGATCCTAGGAAAGTATTTATTTGGTGTATTTCAGCAGGTTTTTAATAACCTGACTAGTAAGTCCCTGCTGAGCAACCAGTAATGAACAGATCAGTTTAAGAACCCTTGTGGTTGATTTTCACAATCTTTTTTGCTGCCAGAAGTGGTATATACATAGCTTCCAGTGTAAATACTTAATTGTGTTACGCTGCTTTAGATCCTACTTCTGAAGGACAGTGCCTTTGATTGAATTTGTCACTTGGACTTTAAAGTCTTTCTGTGCTTTACACATCAAAAAGAATTCTGGCCATCACAAAACTGTTGCACAAATTACTTTTGCAAGCTGATTTTATTCTTGCTTTTTACTTGGAGAAGACTGATAGTTCTAGCAAGGTAAATATTTTTAGAAGGAAATCTGCTAGTTGTGTAAACAGTGAAGGCAAGACAAGTAAATAGTAACTGTGTTTTATATTTTGCATCTGTTTACAATCGAGCTCTTCCTTTTTTTAGATGTTATTGTCAGAATGAAACTGGATATGATATCTTTTTGAAGGCTAGCTAGTTAAGAGATTTCAATCTCGCTTTCAGTCCTTTTTTTTTTTTTTCCTCTTGTTTGTACCAAGCCCAGCCCTGCAGGAAAACCAAATAGCTGCATCTCTGTACTTGATGATTATCTTTAGATACCTAAATGATTGATTAGCTAGCCTCAAGCTGTATTCTTAAAGACACTTTGGGTCTGATGTCTTACATATTATGCTAGCTAAATCGCCTAATATCTAGCATATTTTAATTCAAGTGGTAAATAGGGTAATTTAAATCAAGACTGAGGAGACGTTAACCTTGAAATATTGCTTTAAAAGAAAACTGCAAATGTCTGTTTTGGTGTTGTATTACTAGCTATGCAGTTTTGTTTTAAGTGAAATTTTAGATTACTTTTTTGTGGCTAAGGGATTGGGACAGTTTGTCTGCTGTGAGTTTATCACAACTTGCTGTGGAAAACAGGCTGTAGTTACTAATTCCAAAAATAGAAGAGAAGGTATGGAAAAGGCAAATTATCCACAGAAAGTTAACACACTGAAGTGAAAGCAATCTGTTATCGCAGTGAGTGCCTGTCTTTCACTGGTCAAGACTTTCTATAGTTTATTTCAAGAATGCTTAAAAAAACCCCACTAATCTTGGTCTTAGTTTTGTTTAATATTAATAGTACTCTACTTGCTTCACTAGGCAAAATTAGTATTGGTTTTGGTGATTGTTTGCTATAAGTCACCAAGACTTTGCGAGTGGTAGTCCTTGAGGTTGGAGGCAACAGAAAGAATGAGTTGTGCGTTTACTTTTGAGGACTTGTCCAAAAAACCTAAGACAGCTTAGGTTTCCAGAAGGAATCTGTAAAAAATCTGTTACAATTCTTCTGTACTGAAAGAGTTGTTGTCAAATTAAATTAGTGTCTAACTTAGAGGTCACTTTATGCTCCTTAATTTATTCTTAAGCCATTGAGGACACCATTTATAGCCCTTGTTCTCAACTGTTATTTCATGCCCTAGGAGTACAGGATATTCCTCCGTCATCTTGGTTATTGATTTGTAATAAGCTGTACAATGTGACTTAGAAAATTGCCACACTGCATATTTTTAAAGAAATGCTTGAGATCATTGAAATGTGTAGCTTCCTTGGAATTATTTACTACCAAGGGGTAAAGGATCAAATGACAGGACACAATTACTTACAGATTTTCTATATGTTCATCCAATTCATCTGCTATATATGTGGAATTAGTCAAAATTTGTCAGGAATGTTCAACATTCTTACAAGGATGCTATTTTTGCTTGCTTGCAGTTATTCTTGCTCATCCTGAGATGAACTGTGACATCTTTTTAGAAAATTGTTTCTGTGCTCTTTTGTGTATGCACAGACTACTTTGTTAAACTTATTTCTGAGCAAAACTCTGTGAGAGAACCAGCTTCTCTGCTCTCTATAATCTGCTCAGAAATCTTTTCTGTACATGCTGTGAACGCAGACTATTGAGGGAATTTCTCTACCGGCATGCCCGCTTGCTTACCCAGTGGGTAGCTTTAGCTGCGCTGGGATCCCTGAACTCCAGAGTGGCGTGTGACCTTGCTGGTTGTTTCAAAGCCATTACGTGTGTCTCTTCAGAAGAAATGAAGGCATTCATAGGCTGTACTTAGTAATGCTTGATCAGTTATTACAGTTGTTGTTCTGATCTTTTTTCTTTGCAATCTTCTACTGAAGACTACTCTATAAATTATTTTTCCTTTTCCCTGACACACTTAGATTCAACGGGAGATGTGTCCACACCAACTGACTCGGACTTTGGAAAAAAGAATAAGAAGGAACAGATAAAAATGTGGTTCAGCCCAAGAAGTAGGAAGATTCGATGCATCCTGAACAGGAGTCAGTCTAAGACTAAAAGCAATGACCTTTGTGAAGACACATCTTCAGTATATGATTTCTTTCCTTCCCCTCCTCATAAAAAGCCTTGCAAGCCAACAAAGAAGCCAACACAGAGACAGAGTAAGAAGATGAAGAAGAAACATCTAGCAGACATTAACAAAGTGTGGAGCTTAGAGAAGCCTGAGCAGAAAGGAGGAGTGGAGGAGAATACTCCCAAGGAAAAGTGTGTGACCATCTGCAGTCAACCGGTAGTCCTGTGCACCCCGGAACCAAATAGCCCTGAAGAGACACTTCAGCAGGCGTCTATAAAGGAAGTTGACTCCAGCAAAAATGCAGAAAATGTGGAAATATCGCCACAGGTAAAATCCTCGGAGAAGGAAGGTAACAGTGAGGTGGTGTACCCTGCACAGGTCAGCAAGGAAAAAAATTGTGCTACAGAGACATTGCTGTCAATAGAAAATGAAACTACACCTTTAAAACGTGGAAAGGAGCAATCGAGGCTTCCAGTTACTTCTCAGTCTAAAAGACCAAGAAGAACTGAGAGGAGCGAAGTTGGGAAGGCAGGCAGGCAGGCAGCTTGCTTGGAGGAATTACCTCAGGGCCGTCCTATCCCCCCAGAGACTGAACAGAAGACGCCAGTTCAGACTTGTTCCTCTGTATCGAAACTCACTGACACCGTAATGAAGACAAGAAGCTCTGCAGTCTTTCAAGCAATAAATAGCCCTTCACATTCAACATCTCCCTCTACCCCATCTACTTCTAAGACTTGTAATCAAGTAGGAATACCCCACAGTCCTTCTGTATTGAAGTCCCCTGGTGGTAACACAATTGCCAGAAGAAATTACAAAGGAGAGACTTTGCTCCATGTTGCTTCCATCAAGGTAGGACCATCATCTTCTAGTTCAACTTAAAACATTGTCTTTTTAAACCTCTGTTTAATTAAATATATCCCGGAAACTAGTTACTTCGGTACATCCTATTTGTGAGGGGGGAAATCCCATCTCTTTCTTCTAGGTTTATTGGGGAGTTTCCAACCTGATTCTCTGATTTCATAAAGAAATGACTATTGGAATGATCAAAGATGGTTATACTTGAGAAACTCCATGTATTACAGTGTCAGTTTTACCTGTGAGTTCTAGGAAGTGATAAGCATTCACTTTCTTATTGGCCTTATGTGCCAGAAAGCTGTCTCTGTGATTTGTCATAAGTATTTCGGGTCTCACTGAGTGATCTTGGTCAGTTTAACTTGACCTGGTAACTCAGCCAGGACAAGATCTGAACTATCTACATGAAGATAACTCTATGCCGCCTTAATTAAGGTTAACTGTTTCATAATCTTTGAGATCCTCCATCTGATGCAAGTGTGTTGGCTCAAGAAGAATGAAATGCTCCACCTTTTGATTTCCCATGCTGAGTCCTATGCTCTGAGCATGCTGTCATCACAGATGATGGAGAAGGGATAATTAGGACAGAGTTGGGATGTTCTCAGTAGACTTCACTTCTATGTAGGATCCATGTCATTCTTGGAATGACAGCTGTCACTTATTTTGCTGTTGTTATCTTAGGCAGTTCCTGCTGTGGTAGAACTTCATGGCTTTTGCTCTTTGCAAGGGCTGTCT